GTTTGAACCGTCAACCTCAACCACTGACGCCACAAGAGCTCCTTTGCCCACACCCCAAGGCACCTGATAACAGAACATCCCTCTCTCTCTCTCACACACGCATGCCTGGGGCTGTCAGAGCACCCCTGCCCCATGGCAGGGAGCAAGGAGAATCTCATTCCAGTCTTCCCAATTCCATGCTGCTCATAGTGGGGCAGGATGGGGACTCACGGACGTTTGTTCTTGCAAAAGAGTGTGTCTGCCAGCCCATTTGCCCAATTCCCTCACCCAGAGAGGAGAGCATGCCCCTGAGAAGCATTGCCATGTGTGCCTGGGATGGCGAGGGGCTGGCGAGGCTGCAGAAACCCCTCCTGGGCAGCAGGCTCGGGGCCTTTGCCCAACGGCTGCCCAGGAGCAACTGTGACAAACATGGGGACGCTCTGCATGCCTGCAGTGGCTGGATGCAATGGACAGAGAGAAGCCAGGGCATCACTGTAGCAAGAATAACACTGCCGTCAAGATCCCCACCCCACCCCACTGACAAGGTGGGTTGTGTTGTAAGGAAGGCGGGGCGAGATTCTTCCCCATCCTCCCTCCCCCGGGCTCAGTCCCTGCCAACAGCCTCTATCCCAAGCATTAGAAAATACCAAAATTAACAGCTTTGATGATGCCTGGAAGGTAAACAAGCAAGCTGTGAGAGTTGGCAGAGTGTGGGCATGCGCTCGGGGAGGATGCCAAGACTGTATTCTTCCGACACGTGTCTTCCCAGCTATCCCCGGGCCGAGCAAAGCTGCCCAGGGGTCCACCTCAGAGGCCTTAGCCACCGATTCCAGCTGCAAGGCCTTTATAGCACCTTTTCTTTGCAATGGCTCCTGTCCTTTGGCCTGTCCAGAGGCAGGCGGGCACGTGTCTGGTTGCCACGGGAAGGGGGCGTGACCAAGCACTGTCTATTCACCATCCGGTGCCATCTGGGAGCTGGGTCAGTGAGTTCTTCGCCTGAGTCCAGGCAAGGAGCCCTGGTGGTGTAGCGGCTGTTTGCACCTTGGGCTGCTAACTGCAAGGTCAGCAGTTTGAAACTACCGGCTACTCCTTGGGAGGAGGGGAGACGCTCTCCGCCCGCGGAGAGTTACAGTCTCAGAAACCACAGGGGCTGTTCTACCCTGTCCTAAGGTCCCTGTGAGTCAGCCTCGGCTTGGTGCCAGGGAGTTTGGGGGTTTTCGGCTTGGTGGGTCCAGGCAGGCGTGGCACGCTGGGGCTGCAGAGAGAGGAGCGACTGGCCACAGTGACTTGGAGCCCGTCAGGACCAGCTGTCCTCAGCGAGAGCAGGGAGGGGCACTTAGAATGTCCATGTGGTGCCGTCCCACGAGAAGTCAAGGGGAGCCTGACCCGTCCTTCTGAGGTAATATGATGGTTAAGTTGCCGTAGAGGTGTTTGGATGAGTCGCTGGGCTGCTTGTGTCCCTTGGCTGGCCATCGCACGCAGCCCATCGTCACCCTCCCTGCTGAATGGATGGGGTGGTGGCCACGTGGCTGCCATTCCACGTGCTCAGTCGAATGTATCAGAACAGCTCGGCCTTGTTTGGGAGGCAGGGGTCTGGGAGAAAGAGGCCGAGAAGAAGGAATTAGGACCCGGGGTTGTGAGCATTTACAGACCTCTACATGGTCGAAGCCCGTGGACTCTCGGTGTGGTTCGATTCGGCTTTCCGTGGCTCTGTTTTGTACAATGGCACCCACAGTGAAAAGCTCGCCTCTCAGATGCGCTCCGCAGCAGTGCGGAACCACGGGCCTGTGCCATTCTGGTGCCGTCAGTACAGTCTGACTCCAGGCTCCCCCGTGTGGGCCAGCCCGGGGTTTCCAAAGTGCCAGGCCTTTCTTCTGCGGCTACCAGGGGATCAGTTTGAAGCACCAAACTTTAAGCTGCCATTGAGCTCAGCAGGCGTCAGCTGAACCAGACAAGCGACCCTGCTGCTGGTGAGTCAATCCAACTCATAGCTCAACCTAGACGGTTTCTGAAACGGGTCATCGCTATGGGAGCCTCCGGCCTCCTCTACCTCCCACAGAGCGGCTAGCAGCCCAACGCCAACCCACAGCACCAGCTGGACTCCTCGGGGCATCGACTCCCAAACCCAAAACCAAGCGCACTGACATCGCCGCCCAGGTGCCACACACAGCGACCCTGTAGGACAGGGTGGAAACTGCCCCTGTGGGTGTCTGGGGCTGGAGCTCTTGACCGGGTGTAAAAGGCTCCGCTCTGACCCAAAGGACAGCAGCAGAATTACAGATCGGCAGATAGATCCCACCCCCGCCACACGCAAGCTGCCACCCAAGCTGCTTCCCACCCGGGGGTGGGGGCGGGGGTGGGGGGCTCTCTAAGGGGACTTGTTGACTTTGTCTGTGTTTGAAAGGACAGGCCAGTCTCGTCCACCTCAGGCCATTATAAGGCAGAAACAAGTCTACGTTCCCCCCTTTTGTGGGACGGCGCGAGCGGACGGATTCCCCGGGTGGCCTTGCTCAGTCAGGAAGCATGATGACCTGGCTTGGTTCTTCCAAGCCACTTCCGGTATTCGCCGCCTGCGCCTCCTGCACAGTGGATTCCCTAGTCCTGATAGCCTGACCTTGTTCCCCTGGAAACTGAGGGACCCCTGCCCCTGCCCGTGTGCTCCTGGGACCCTGCAGCAGCCTCTCCCAGCGGAGCCTGCTCCCACAGACTCCCCTCTCCCCAAGAAGGGTCAGCTCGGGCTGGGCCTCTCCAGAGCACTCTGGACAGGCTCTGCTGCCGAGCTCTCTCCAGAGTGGGAAGGGATTTGATGAACAGTCCCGTAGCACAGTCACTTCCACCAGGCCAGTGAGTCACAGTCATCGCACATGTGTCCCGGGGGAACTGTGCCCAGAGGGTTTCCAATGGCTGATTCTCCTAACAGAGATCGCCAGTCCTTTCTTCGGAGCTGCCTCTGGGCAGACGCCCATCTTTGGATAAGCAACCGGGCATGTTACCCATTTGCACCACCCTCTCGGCAATCACCTCCCTGAGTCATCTCCAACGGGAGGGAGGTCGTGGGCTGGGTGTCTTTGAGAAAGCTATAGTCCCTGCCTTGACAGCGCTGAGCCTCCCTGGGGACAGAGACTCAGCCGTGGAGCCAATATCACCAGCACCTTCGGCTGGGATCTCACGTGTGGCACACCCTCGGCCCACTTCCTCGTCTGAGACACCTGCCTCAGAGCTCCCATCCGTTCAATGGACTCCTCCTCTCCAAGGGCATCGGGAGATGACAGAGAGACGGGCCGGTGTCTTGCCAGCAATCTCTGTCCTTTCCCTTACGGGAGGACCAGCTGGTCCAGGAGGGCCCTGGTGGTGCTGTGGGTTAAGGGATGGGCTCCCACCAGAAGGTCAGTGGTTGGACCCCACCCCCCAGCCGCTCCACGGAAGAAAGATGTCTGCTTGCGTGTTCCGATTAGCAGCCTCGGCTCCTCCAGGGAGCAGCCCCACCCTGTCCGTCCTGCAAGGCGCTGCTCAGGACCAAACTAGGGATGGACACCCGGCAGTGACCTGAGGAGAGGGCTGGTCCTCGGGGACTGGCGCCCCGCCCCTGCTCCTACGTGCAGTCATCTTGCTGTGTTCAAGCCCTTTGATGAGCATCACAGCAGCCCCGGCCCCCAGGCCCCAAGGCGGAAAGACACGTCTGTTTGATAAAGGCTTGCTTCAGAGCAGTCTCCCTGAGAGGTGACGTCCCCCAGGGGATGCCGGAACCCTCCAGGGACCTCCGAAAGCAGACGCCCACACTGGTCCTGGAGTTCGACTGGAGTGGACAGGTTCTCATTGCCAGGGAATCGCTAGGAGTTTCTTTGTTTCTGAAAAGGGGGCAGTAGGCCAAATCCGTTTGGGCCCCTGCCTGGGGACCAGAGGGGGTCTCTGGGCTGTGCTAATGCCCTGGGGTCGCTCAGCAATGCAGCTGCAAACCAATCTGGCGCGTCCGCTCACCGTGGTCTCCTCCCTTCTGCTGGGAGCTCCTGGCTCCTTTAAAATTACTTGCAACAAAGCCCTCCGTCTTTGTGATTTGTGGTTGATTGGAACTTACGCAGCCCTGGGTGTTGGCTAATCTAATCTCTGAGTGGCCTGAGACCTGCCCCTTCCAGCAGCGGGCCTGCCCCATCTCCCACGCCCTCCGGGGTGGGGGTGGGGGTGTGATTGGGTCTCACCACGCCTGCTGCTTGGCCAGTAGCCCTGCTTTGGAGCGGCTCCCAACTGGGCTCACTGGATTTAGTTGTCTCTAAGCTGCACCTGAAGGTCTGAGCATTTCTTCTTCAGACTCACCTGCAGTACTGGGGCACCTTCCACTCCTGGCTTCTCCCCTCGATCGTCCCCCGAGAAACACCGCCAGGGCACCCTCTCCTAGAAACTGGATGGAGTGCCTTCATGAGATAACTTCTTCCAACAGATCTGTCTGTTCTGGCCAGATGACGATCACGCCAGACAATTGGGGTGGGAGGACCATCCCAAGCCATGCTTTAAAAGGCTGTCTCTAGAGAGGCACCTGACTCACCCAAGGCAACCAGTTCGAATCCACTGGTTGCTCCAAGAATGAGAGCTGATGCCCCTGTGTGATTAACAGTCTGGGACACTTCTAGTCTGGGCAGTTCCAGTCTGTCGTATAGGGTTGCTGTGGGTTAGGGGGAAGAGATGAGGGGGTCTGTCTCTAGGAGGTCACATGGCCGATGACATGGAAGTAGCTGGCTGAGCAGTGCCTGGGTTTCAGGATGTCAAGTCCTGGGGGTCAGTGCCAGCCTCCACTGCCAGCCAGAGATGACCTGAGGTTGGGGCAGGGTGCCACTGATGCCTGATGACAGCAGCAAGCACAGTTTCCACCCTCCAGGTAATAAGGTCTCAAAGGCAGTGAATGCCACAAGACCATGCCACACTACGCCTATTGAACTAGGTGGAGGAATGCCCAGCTAGCACGAGCAAAGAGCACAGGTTGACCAGAAAACTAACTCTCTCCTCCCTCTGTCTTTTTCAGACTATAGCCCTGGCTCTTCCTCGGTGAGTACATCATTTTCAAAACTTGACTTCCGGGGTGCAGTGTGGTAGGCACAGGGGGGGTCAGGGGATGAGGGTCTCTGGACAGTATGCTAGGTGTGAAGCTAGTGCCTTCCCTGCTAGAACAGCCACACAGCACGTGTCTCCTTCTGGGTGTTTCAGGGTGTCAATCCAGCCCCTCTGAGGGCAGGAAGTTTGAGCTGTGTTGTGTCCAGTGTCCTGGGGGGCATGGTTGGGCAAGGCCGCCTGCTTCTCTGCCCTGGACTGGTGGGTCCTTCTGGAAACAGCCCTGCGGTATGAGCTGATCACGCTGGGGGCTGACTGGGGAGAACATGGCAGACACTCACGTGAAGGATGATTGCTCCCTGTCCCTCGGCCTCGGGGAAGACCCCAGAGAAGGGCACTCTTCTGGAGGGCTCGCTCAGGGACAGGGGCTCTTGTGTTCTCGGTGTCCTTGTGTTTAGGAAAAGTAATCTTGAGCACAATAGCATTGTTGTTGGTGGTGGTGGTGTTTCTGCTTAAGCAACCTTGGTCCGCTAAGTTCCCTAAAGAACTGGAGGGACAATAGTACAAAGGTTTTAAAAGTGGGTTCAGCTTATGGGCAAGTAGTTCTTGAGATGCCCATGTGCGCGCGCATGCGCACTTGCGTGCTCCTGTGGAGCCATGCATATCTTTGGGCATATGCATGACTTTGGGTGCCTTGGGGTGCCTTGGGGCTCATGTGTACCTTTGAGTTCATCAGTATCTTTGAGTTCTGTGGGTTCATGCATATCCATATGTGTACCTTTGGGTTCAGGTGTAACTTGGGGTTACACACACCTTGGATTCATGTACTGCTTTGAATATCTATATACTTTGGGGTTCATGTGTACCTCAGGGTATACGTGGGCCTTGGATTTATGTGTGTTTTTGTGTGCCTGTGGACTTTGAGGTGCATGTGTACCTTGTTGTATGTGTGTACTTTGAAGTTCATGCACAGCTTGGGGTTCCTGTGGACCGTGGACTTCATCATACCTTGGAGTGTATGTGTAGCTTGGGATACTCGTGTCTTTGGGCATGTGCACACCTGGGCTGTGGGCATGCACGTGACATGGCTGGTTTGCTAAAATGAGCATGCCGTGATGTTGACAACCAGGGTGTTGTCCTTAAATGTATAACCTCACTTGTAATGGCTTGACTCTGTTCCTGAATCGTTTTTAAGAACAATGATTCCATGCCTCTGCTGGGACTGGCTGCCTTTCACTCGCCTTTTGTAGGCCATGTGGCTGCATGAGCCTCACAGCTGGACACAGGTGTCAGTGGTCACCCATGTGAAGATACTCACTCAGTTACCCATGTTGATTCTCCTCCCCTAGGGCACCGGGGCTGGCTGCAGGTCCATCCAGAGAGAGCAGCCCCAGAGAGCTGGGGAATGCTGTGGTCCCACTTCCATCTTTATGGGGCACTGTCCTTCCAAACAGCATGGGTCACCTGGAGAAATGTCAGTGGTGGGCGTCGTGCTGACACAGCACGGGGGAGAGCAGGGTCTGAATGACGGGCACTCAGCTTCTCCTGTTGCCTCTGAATGCTAAGTCTTCCTTGGCACCGTGCGCTGAGTGTCTCTTGAGCTAAGGTGGCATCCGTCCATCAGAAGCACTTTCTGGTAGGTGCCGACCACGGCGCAGCCCCTGGCGGTACAAAAGGCTAACATGCTGGGCTGCTAGCTGTGCGGTGGGAGGTTCTGGTCCACCAGCAAAGGCCCGGAGCTCTGCTTCTGAGAAAGCAGCTTCCAGAAGCCTCCGGTTCTCAGTTCTACTCTGACGCACACGCGGGGGCTCCCCAGGATGACTGTGGGGTTTGCGTTGCTGTCCCCCCAACCCCAAGAGATGATTGTCCTCTGATGCATCTTCTTCTGAATCACAATACACTGTTAGAATGATGTGGCTGCTCCCGGCTGGCTCTGGCCCTCCACATGTCACCCCATGCTCTTCCCACCCTGGTGGGGTCCTGCCTCCTGGCAAGTTGTCCTGCTGTGTGGTGGTGGGTGGGCCATGCTCCCCTCACAGCGGCAGATATTAAGCTACCGTTCTTTAGGTCCTTTGAGTTGGCGCTGACTCATAGCATCCTCAACCCAATGAAACAATGTCGAAAAAACAAACCAATGTCCAGCCCCTCCCAACGACTACAGTCGGGCCTTGTTGCAGGGTCTTCCTCTTTTTCGCCGCCCCTGCACTTCACCAAGGACGATCTTTCTCCAGGGCCTGGATCCTCCTGGGCATGTGCCCAAAGTACAGGAGATGCATCTCTCCGTCTTTGCTTCCAGGGAGATTCAGCTGTACTTCTTCCAAGACAGAGCTGTCCACTGTTCCCGCCGCCCTCGTAAGATTTGGCATGCCCTGCCAACATCACAGTCTAAACAGGCCAATTCTCCCTGGGTCTTCCTTCTCTCCAGCTTTCTAACGCAAACACGGCACGGGTCAAGCACACCTTAGTCATCAAAGGGGCATCTTTGCTTTTTAACACTTGCAAGAGTCTTTGGCTTATCAACCGGGACCTTCCAGAAAGATTCTTACACCCCAGATTCCGAAGAGGATGTGGAAGGAAAGATACTGCTGCCAATGTCAGGCGGCTCCTGGCTGAAAGCACAGAATCCCAGAAGGATGTTTGCCTGTGTTTTATGGGCCGTGCGAAGGCAGACAGCTGTGCAGAACATAACAGATGATGGATAATATTACAGAGAACAGGAATTCCAGAACACAGCATTGTGCTCGTACCGAACCTGAACTTTAGACAAGGGGCAATTGTGCAGGCAATACGAGAGAATCCAGGGTGGCTGAAATCTGGGAAAGATGTTTGTCAGGGTTGGGTCCTCCCCTCACCATACTTATTCAATCTGCCCACTGAGCAAAGAATTCTAGAAGCTGCCCTGAGTGCAGAAGAAGGAGGCATCCAGGTTGGGGGAGCTTGCTGGAAGCGACACGGATTTGAGGCACTTGCTGGTGAAGGTCACAGGATGGACGACAGGCCGACACACAGGACATAGAATCATCACCGCTGGACCTGCAGACCACATCACGACAGGGAGACAAGATCGAAACTGCCCAGGAAATAGCCGTCAAGAAACCAAATAGCCTATTGAATTAGTCGAACTGCCGCTGAAGACCGTGAAATGGCTGCTATTAACATCAGCAAGAAACTGTTGGCAGCTCGTTCTCCAGCTTGGGAATGTGCATCGAGCTGGCAGGAAGGTTACTCCCGTGCTGCTAAAAAAAGAGAGAGATGTCCAACGGAGTTCCCTTCTCTGGTTATAGTCCCTGCCCTTTTGTGGGGAAACAGCAACAGAAACGAGATTTCTGACCTGCAGAAATAGAATCCATTCCTGCCCCCTGTTGCCCTGGATGAAGTGCTTTGCTAACACGGCGTCCTGGGGGCTGTTGTGGTGGTAGCTTTTTGTGTTTTGTTTTGTGCTTAGCATATTCCACAAGATGTGGGGATGAGGCTGCCCTTCCTGTGGCAACATCTGGCAAACCAAAGTCCCTCCAGCTACAGGGTGCTTGCTTTCTCTGACTCTGAGTCTGCCTGCCGCTTGCCTCAGGGATGGGGTTTCAGGATGACGAATTGAAGGGAACACACAGCCCATCCAACACGCCCCTTCCAGACTCCGCTTAGACGTAAGGGCAGCCAATCGATGAGCAGCATCAAATGTGAGAGTAAGTCGCTTGTGGTCGCAGCAGCGCAGGAAAAGACCAGAGGAATACGAGATGCGGAAATGAAAGTGCCGAGGACAGCTAGGCTGACGTTCAACTTGAAAACCGACGGATCCGGGCTTGGCCTGCTGCTGTCAGTTTCAGCACCTGCAGGTCTCCTCTGCTCAAGCTGTGGCTTTTCTTGCTGTTGGCTTTCACGCAGACCTGAAGGTTTAAAAATAAAGTGCAGGGGAAACCACTCGGCCCGTGCTTCTCGCAGCGGCGCTGGCTGAGGTTACACGGGCTGGCCTCTGTCCCAGCAGAACCTGCAGAGGGAACGGAGACACTGCCGTCCAGGCCACGTTTGATCCCCGTTTTCTCTTTTGACCACGTCCCCGGTTCTTCATCAGCGCGTGTACGCGTTCCCACTCAAGGTCCAATATGACCGAGGCCAGGCAAGCCATGGAGCGTTGGCTGCTAACCGGCAGGCCAGGGGTTCACAGACAGCCAGAGGCCTCAGGGAGAAAGGCCTGGCTGCCACTTCCAAAGGCCACAGCTGTGAGCCACCCTGTGGAGCCCGCCTCTGCTCTAACAGCACCCGGGGTCTCCCTGAGTCAGATCGGACTTCGTGCTGACCGGCTTGAGCTTGTTGCTTTTCAAAAACAGAGCCTGCGGATTTCCTATCTGAGCTAAAATCTGCCCCTGCCCCCCCCCCCCCCCGCTGCCAGCACTGGGGAAGTTATTCCTCTGCATGCAGGGTGGGCAGCAGATTGGAAGGCTCCCTTGGGAACTCGCAGTGATGGACAGGTCAGTCCAGCATTTGTTTCCGACCCCATCTCCCCACCCCCAGGGACGACTCAACATTCTTCCAGAAAGTTCCTCCTGAGAGAGTGTCACACGGAACCCTTTGTCACACAGCAGAAGCCAGGAGAACACACAGTCCCTGTTTCCACGGAGAAGGAGAAGGAGCTCTGAGTGCTGACAGCAGGCCCAGCCGAAAGTTAGAATTCGCGAGATTCACGGGAGGAATCTCTTTACGCCAACAGAAAATACAACATGGGTTCTCCAGGAGCATCCTGGCCCCCCAAGGCCGCACCGGTAGGAAAGAGGCTGAGGGGGTTGGGAGGGAACCCTCTCTTGTCACCATGGTGGACTTTTGTCATGGTCGCTTGCAGTATCACTTCTAAACTATTTTAAAGTCAGATTACAGAATATTATCCGGAAGCCTCCACCACATGAGAACCCAGCAGGCTCCTGTAGGACTGCGTCCGGTGCTGGCACAGGGAATCTGGGGTTCACGTTTCAGGAAGCCAGTTCTAAGCTACCACAGCTCTGCCA